CACGACTGCTCGCGTCCAACCATTTGCGTCTGGATGGTACCCTGAGTGATAACACCCGAAAAATAGCTCGAAACCAGAACTCGAAGAACGTCCCTTGATCAACGACATGAGGGCAGCAGGATTGTAGTAATCAATGCTATCAATACCTCCACCACTCTAATTGCGCATAGAGCCAGCGGAGTTTCTGTTCGCTGTTATGCTGGCGGTGACTCACCTCACAAGAGGTTTTTCGCCTGTGGCTCACTAGGTTCGGGATCGAACCTGGTACATCGCATCTCCAAGGTGGAGATGGAGCGTCGTAGCGGTTAGTGGGAGACTTGTGGTGCATATATGTATATATATATAAGGGCCAAATACGTTGTCCATTTTTGTTCAAGTTGTGTGTTTGGATTCGTGGAGAAAATGCCACGTGCTTGGTTCCACGTCCACCCATTGAGGCAAGAGGCAGTCCGCTTTGCAGAGGCGGGCCGGAAGGGGAAATGGTTGGGCATTTGGTATGACGCAAAAATCAGCCACAAGAACGGCGCATTGACTGAGCTTCCTTCTCCCATTGCTGTCTCTGGTTTCCATCTATATAGGTTCTGTACTGCGCCGCCTCTTGGGCGCAAGCGTGGAGGACAATCTTCTCGATCGTTTTTGGGTTGGGAATCATAGTTTTGGCGGAGAAACAATGCACAGCGAAACCTTCCACGGGTACCCGGTGCTTTGCTGCATGGCTTTACACCATCCTCGATCAGGGGGCTGAACTCCGCTTGCTCGATGAACCTGGAATGGACCAGGCGGGCAAGAACCGGGCGTGTTGCATAGGCAAGACGGAGGGTGGCAACTCGAGATCTAGCCGATTCGGGAAACAGAACCACCATTTTCCATGGCTCAACCGAAGTTGCTGGCGAGCAGATTCCCAACTGCTTGCGGCAGTAGCATTGTGGAAAACGAAGGAGTTGAGGAAAAATGTGAGTGCTTGATTGAAAGGGAAACTGTAAGATGTCTGGGAATAGGTGAATTTCTTGTTTTTGCAAACATGGTGCACAAAGATCATAAGTCGTCTGGGTGACAGGTGCATGAGGTTGAGTTTACTAAAGTTTCTAGTGGTTGAACCAGGAGGATGGCCATCATTGAGAATCACCCAAACAAACAATGTCCAACAGCCACCATCCCCGGATCAGGTGCCCGGCCGAGAATCCTTTGTTGGAGGCGCGAAGCGCAGAAGCGAGATGCCGGCGGATTCCGATCCTCACGACCACTGGGCGCTTTGTTTCTGGCTCTTTACCTGAAACGAAAAGTGACCTTACAATCTGCAGATTTGCTTTAGAGTGAATCCAACCCCTGGCCATGCAGCATCTTTATTCATTTGTCACCCAGGTCTGTCACTGCTGGTGTCCGCCCTTTTCCGCTAGCCATGTAGGATTTCTATTCATTTGTCTCCCAGGTCTGTCGCGGCTGGTGTCCGTCCTTTTCCGTTGGCCATGTAGCTGGCCATGTAGCATTTCTATTCACTTGTCTCCCAAGTATGTCACTGGTGGTGTCCAACTGGTGGTGTCCACCCATTTCCCTTGGCCATGTCTCTGTTGGTGTCCGCCCTTTTCCGCTGGCGATGCAGCATTTCGATTCATTCCAGAAGCAGTTTACTGTTTTCCGCTGGCCATGCAGCATTTCCTTGTCTCCCTTCTGTCTCCCTTCTTCTCTTCCTTCTTGTTGGCCACTGTATCTGCCTTGTCTCCCTTCTGTTTCCTTTTGTCTCCCTTCTTGTCTCCCTTCTAGTTGGTCGTTGTGTCCGCTTTGTCTTTCTTCTTGTCTCCCTGGATCTCCGGTCTTGTCTCCCTTCTTGTGGGTCATTGTGTCCGCCTTGTCTCTCTTCTATTTCCTTTTGTCTCCCGTCTTGTCCCCCTTCTTGTTGGTCATTGTGTGCACCTTGTCTCCCTTCTGCTTCCTTTGTCTCCGGTCTTGTCTCCCTTCTTGTTGGTTGGTGTGTCCGTCTTGTCTCCTGGTGTTTCTTTTTGTCTCCCTTCTCGTATCCCTTTTTTCCTTTCGTCTGGCACTGTGTCTGTCTTGTCTCCCTTCTGTTTCCTTTTTTCTCCCTTCTTGTCTTGCTTTTTGTTGGTCATTGTGTCCGCCTTGTCTCCCTTTGTCTCCGGTCTTGTCTCCCTTCTTGTTGGCCATTCTTTCCGTCTTGTCTGCCTTCTGTTTCCTTTTGTCTCCCTTCTTGTCTCCTTTCTTGTGGGTCATTGTGTCCGTCTTGTCTGACTGCTTTTGATGTCTCCCTTCTTGGCGGTCATTATGTCCACCTTGTCTCCCTTCTGCTTCCCTGTGTATCCGGTCTTGTCTCTCTTCTTGTTGGTCGTGTGTCCGTTTGGTTTCCCTTCTGTTTCTTGTTGCCTCCATTTTTGTTGGTCATGGTGTCCGTCTTGTCTCTCTTCTGTTTCTTTTCTTCTCCCTTCTTGTTTCTCTTCTTGTTGGTCATTGTGTCCGCCTTGTTTCTCTTCTGTTTCTTTTCGTCTCTGTCCGTTTTGTCTTCTTGTGTTTCTTTTTGTCTCCCTTCTTGTCTCCGTTCTTGTTTGTTATTGTGTTCGTCTTGTCTCCCTTCTTGTTGATGTCTCAAAAAGTGGACTTGGGAATGCTTCGTTGTTGTCTAACCTGTTTGGGGTCTACGGCGGTGTAATGTTTTTCAGGTGTTCTTGTTCGTGTTAACTTTACTTCACCTTTACACTTCTTCGTTTTTCTCGACCGTAGAAGCAGCGAAGAGTTTGGTAGAAGATGGAGAAAAACTGCCCTTAGCACGATGTGAGCGACAAAGAACTGTGGCAGTTGCAATCATCAGGGATCACCCAGGGATGATCAAACTATATAGACAATATATGCTTTTTGGCTTGTTTAAAAATCGCCCTGACCCAGTAGGGTTTTGGACAGATTCACTATACGATGTTCACTACTGGATTGGTTCTGAAAAGTGGTTTGAGCGTTAGTTTCTTGGAACATCCCGTTGGATAGACAGACAGAATGGTTCTGACATGGGTTATGGTAGAGTGCCAGGGCTCCACTTGCTCGATGAACCTGGAATGGACCAGGCGGGCAAGAACCGGGCGTGTTGCATAGGCAAGACGGAGGGTGGCAACTCGAGATCTAGCCGATTCGGGAAACAGAACCACCATTTTCCATGGCTCAACCGAAGTTGCTGGCGAGCAGATTCCCAACTGCTTGCGGCAGTAGCATTGTGGAAAACGAAGGAGTTGAGGAAAAATGTGAGCGCTTGATTGAAAGGGAAATTGTAAGATGTCTGGGAATAGGCGAATTTCTTGTTTTTTGCAAACATGCACAAAGATCATAAGTCATCTGGGTGACAGGTGCATGAGGTTGAGTTTACTAAAGTTTCTAGCGGTTGAACCAGGAGGATGTCCAACAATGAGAATCACCCAAACAAACAACGTCCAACAGCCACCATCCCCGGATCAGGTGCCCCGCCGAGAATCCTTTGTTGGAGGCGCGAAGCGCAGAAGCGAGATGCGGAGCGGCGGATACCGGCGGATTCCGATCCTCACGACCACTGGGCGCTTTGTTTCTGACTCTTTTACCTGAAACGAAAAGTGACCTTACAATCTGCAGGTATTTGCTTTAGAGTGAATCCAAACCTGTTTATGGTTTCATACGACTCACTTCATGAGTTCACTTTATTTATCCGGGTCGATCGTTGCGATTGTTCTGCGAGGGGCAAAATCTGGGCCATTTCCGGCGACACAGCTGCTGCTCATCGGCCGGTGTTGCAGGCGTTTGAATCAGATTTTGTTTGTTTTTGTTAATGTAACAATGCGATTTCAGCTGGTGTTGTTTTTCCCCAAGCAGTTTACTGTTAGGGGTGCTCAATTCTTTCTTAAGATGTGTCCGCCCTTTGTGTCACTGCTGGTGTCCGCCCTTTTCCGCTGGCCATGTAGCATTTCTATTCATTTGTCTCCCAGGTCTGTTGCTGCTGGTGTCCGCCCTTTTCCGTTGGCCATCCCTCCGCGGGTTCAACTCCGTTTCTGGGACGTGTGTATTTCCGCTGGCAGGGGGCTGACTGTTCCGGGCAGCGCCCCCTCCATGCTTATATCTTCTTACCTTTCTCGTTCGGATATGCCCCGCTTCACCCCCGCCCTGCTAGCTTTCGTCACCAACCCTCGGCCTCATCTGAACTCGCATTTGTGATGCCTGATGCTGAGGTGTGATCTCCCCAGCAAGCAACCCCTTCCGAAGGTGCCTTGGCTGAAAAAAATGGAGGGCCATCCTGCAGGCCTATGGACTAGCCTCGATGAGCTCTGGAGCTGGAATTGCGGCAGTTTGGCCGACAAGTTTCACCATGTTTGATCCAACCAACCCGATTGCTCAGTTTGGGCATCTCAAGCGCAAACAATTTGAGCATTTGAGCATTGCTTGCAGTGCATTCCGTGAAGCACCGTCAGGGTGGATCGGGAATAAGGACACTTTTAAGTCAGTTTCAAGTTTCAGAAGGAAACTTGCAGCGCTTTCTCTCTCACCAAACAGAAGTCCTAAAGTATATAGCTTTTGTCAGTGACTGGACACAATGGCAGTAGGAAACGCAGCGTGTACAACTTCCAAAAAATCAAGAAGTTGGATGCATTTTCTTTGCGAGATCAAAGTTCGACCCGCTCACTTCTGCGTTTGTCAACGGCATGAGCGCATTCGCCACCCTCACCGTGCTGGTTGAAACTGTTTGTTCAGCTGCACGATTCTTGATGGATTTTCTCCTTAGCCCACCAAAACAGCATGGCACAATCAACATCGAGCGTGGACCATGACAGGACCGTTGCCAAACACGCCACCCACGCTACATCACGGTTTCTGGTGCTACTTGAAACTTGTGCGACGAACTTGGTTTGACATACAAATGGGCTAGATACTTCCCATGCCCCAAGACAAACTCGCGACGTGCGTTTGGTGTTGTGCAGATGTGTTTGTTGTATATTATATATAATATGTTCTTCGTCCATCGCGCAGCTGGGTTGTTCCGCAGCATTTGGAAGATGACCAAACCACAAGGGGAATGGGACATCGATTGGTCATGGAGCTGCAGCTTGGAGGAGATGAACGGATCGTTCCGTGTTTTTTCTCGAAAACTTTAAACCTTTTCCCCACGAATTGGGAACAGTGGCTCGAGAGACCAAAAAACATCATTTTTGACTATTATTCAACTGTCCCAGTCAGTCAATGGAAGGAAACATTCGAAGATCTGAAGATTGAAGAAGGACGTCTTTGTCACTCGTAACTAGTTGTGGTTTGCAAGCAGCGCCATACAAATGAATTAAACCCTTCTAACCCCGTAGTCTCACCTCTGAGGATTCACTGAACATCTGGTGTTGAGTCTCCCTTATATAGAGCGAAACTAAAGCAACATCCCAGCAGTTTGTCAACACTGGGGTCCAATGGTTCTTGGATGTTTTTAGTGCTCAGATTCATACTCCAAGTCGACTCAGGCAGAGGGTCTGTTCTTCCGACCATTCATTTTTCACCTGAAACAGTTCACAGTTTCAAACGGGGTATTGGATTCTTGAGAACCCTTTTTTTGGTGCCTCATCACCCTTCCAAACAGAACTGACCAGACGACATGATCGACGTCGAGAAAGGACTTTCGAGAGTATGACCCGGATGTCCAGGCAGTGATGGAGTGTCAAGGGAGGACCCTCTGGGCATGGTGGGCCGACCCCTGAACAGATGAAGATGTAGGACTCTGGGAACATGAAGACCTCCATGGTTGGTAGGCCCACCGATGGGCTGGTGAATTCTTAGCACTCTCATGTGGAACATCACTGAGATGATTTTGAAGAAGTGAAACCACGAAGCCCATGGAATTCATTTCCCCAACTACCTTCTGCCCTTCAACCGAGTCTCCTCAGATTTTTTCATCTCTGCGCCCACCCTGAAATGCGCCTTTGTGGGTGGTATGAGGGTGATCCGTTGTGAGACGCTGGACCTCAACGGATCACCTCCCATCCGCTTCGTCCCCATCGGCCGAACGGCACCCGCGCATCGCGCAGATTGGCAGCCCCCGCTCGGTGGCGGCCTGCGACGCCCAGGGCATTCGACCTCGGGAGTGAACGTGTCGCGCGGGGCGACGGGCATGGCTTTTTCTGTTTGTTTTTGGAGTGAGAAGAGTTCTTTCCCAGCTCAAACCAGAAGAGAAGAAGGCGACTTGAACATAATCAACCAGAGGGAATTCTATGAACAGTGATAAACATCGCTGAGCGTTGCAAACAGAAGATGATTTTCTGGAAGTCTGGAAGATGTGCTTCCGGAAGTCTGGTTCTTGGTCCTTTCGTGGGGTCGGACACCTTCAATTTATTTCAGCTTGGATGGGACCACTTTCGGTGTGGCTATCTCCCTGATCACCAAACGTGTTTGGTTCAGTGCAACCTGATGGCAACGCGTTTTGTTCGGAACACCCGCTGATATGATGACCTGTGTAGCTTTGACAGTCCCCCGCCGGGCGGGCTGCCGGCGGAACCGGAACCGGTGGGACGGACCGGTGGGGACCGGCAGGAGCTCGCCTACAAGCCCCTGGAGGTCTTCCAACTTCCAGGACCGGGAGACGCCTCATGGGAGGGACGTTATGTGGGACGTAATGGGACGTAATGGGAAGGTGAAGGATCCGCAGCTTCCGAAGCATCATGAGTGGGATGGGATGTAGTTGGAGATCGAGTGATTTTCTTTGACTTCTACCTGGAAACCCAAACAACCAGAAACAAATGGTTGTTCCAATATGGCAATTGAAATCCTTTAGATAGGAACTGGTTGTTTGGGGAAACATCCATTTCTTTCTGGTTGTTTGGGTTCCAGGTACAGATTAGTTTTTGCTTATTTTCATTGTTAAACTGATATTTTCCATTGTTATTTCTTTATTCCTGTTACCTTGCACGGGGCCGCCTTGGTACAGTCAACCAAAAAGGCAACAAATGGTCCGGGACGCTCGTCAGCTTCTTGTTGAGATTGCGTTTGCATGAAAGTGGATGTGCACAACAGCATCCACATCATCCACTCGTACACGTGGGAAGATATTAACATGGAACCTGAAAATAAACCTACCTTTGAAAGACTATTTTCCTCTACGCAAACTTTCCACGGCGTAAACCGAAATTGAATGATCATAGACACCATGAGCTATGATCAAAAGCTATGATCAAAGAGGCTCTTCTTGTGTAACACCAGTCGATGCAGAAGCCTCTCCTTCGAGATGCAGGGAAGACCTCAGCTTGGCTCTCTCTCAACTCCTCGCCAGGCCTAGACCCTCGTGTGGCCCAGCTGCGCTATGAGTTCATGGAGGCTGAAAGACCCTTGGCGGCGTAGCGCCGCGTAGCACGTGGCTGGGCACCTGGAGCACGAGGCTTCCATCACCTGGCCAGCCTCTACGCCGCCCCATCCGACCGCTGTGCTCACGGCGCTGTCAGGCACGACGGCAAGATCTTCTGAAGGCGGCGAGGGACACGTCGGGGACTCCAGTCGAGTCGCCGAGAATCGAAGACGAGAAGGAGATGGTTTACATGCCTGCATTTTCTCAAAGGCCATGGTTTACATGAGAAAATGCACTCAACATTGGACTGTTGTCAGTGTTTTTCAACTTGGATGTTTTGCAGCTCATTCGCATAATTTGGCAATCCATGGTCTCACAGTCCGAAGGTTTGCTATGGTTTTTTCATGGGGAGAGTCCATCGCAACCACTCAGGCGCAACATCATCATTGAGCTTGTGGAAGAGGCAGACCGTTGGGGCTCTCAGTCGCCAGCGGATCGTGGTGGATCACGGTGGGGACCTGCCAGACACAGAAGCTCCAAGTTTCTGGTTTATTTCATATGAGGACTCCCGTTTTGGGGGATTTGCCCTTGTTCCTGGCTCACGGCCGCTCCGATGCCTCCATCTTCTGCGGAATCCACGAGCCACAAGAATCCAAGCCCATGAGACCCAGAGTCGTATTGCACCTGAAAACGTCGCTCCAAATGCAGAGTCGAGTTGACCTTTCGTTTGGAGCTGCGAAACATTTTGAGCTGCGTTTGGAGCTGCGCCCAGAAGTTTCAGCAGTTACGGAGCAAAACCGCGGGTCGTATCCATCGAAGCAGCTCAGGAGAGGAGGCGAAGGCGCAGGCGACAGGGAGGTTTTGAGGGGCTTCTGAGTTGCGACAGGGCATTTTGGCACTTAAGGGCCGCTTAAGGGCAGAATCTCCATTGCAGGCTGGAGCGCACGAGTCTGTTCTGAACATCCTTCTTGAGGGGGACCACTCCGACCACTTGGCTGTGTCTTGGAGTACGCCAGGAGTCCAAGCACAGCGCACGCAAGAAGCATTGGCAGCAAGCGGCCATGGCGGAGGAGTGGCTGTTTTCTCCCGGTTTTGAGTTGAAAATCGCTTCGAAGGAACTCATGAAGGGGTGGTACATGTGGTAAGCGTGGGGATTCACTTGTCCGGGAATTCTGGATCATGAGAAAGTGAGCCATAGTGGAGCTCCACTCAAATGTGGAAACGGCATTTTGGACTCCCTTGGAATGACCTATTCGTATTCGGTGTTTCGTATTCACGCCGTCCTTCTTGAAAGGGGGGGTGCTTCGCGTCCGCTTGAAACTGGGACCTTCGGAGCCGGTCGCACCTTGCTCCAGGCCCCTCCAGGGCCCCCCCCCCCCCTCCGCAGCTCCGCTGGTTCCAAGCCGTGGTACGACCTGGGGTGGAAAGCCAACGACCGGTCGGCTTGCAGGACCGGAGCACCAAAGACGACCTGCACCGGGAACTCCAACCGCCCGGAACGCCCGGAGTGGAAAGACGTGGGGACAAACACCACTCTGAGCTACACCGATTTACTTGGACCTTTTCAAAGACATCATGCCAGGGAGACTTCAAGAATGATGGAGGAATTGGCTTTGAAAGGGATGTGTAGAGTGTCGAGACCACAAGAGTTTCGTTCCTGCCTCCTTTCGAATCTTGGAACCTGTGGGACGATCTGGCGGGGTTCCTCTCTGCCGTTCCTCTCTGCCGTTCCAATCATGTTGCACCCAGATGGTAGAGAATCTGGGTTGCCATCTGACCAGAGAGGGCAAAAAACCTCGAAGAACCAGGAGAGAAGGCACCACTTGCATCGTGGGGAGAAGGCCACACCCAGACCATGAACCAGCGAGAAAGAGGGACTGGCAAGTGGTTCAAAGGGTCAGAAGAAAGAACGTCTTGTTTCAAAGAGTTCATTTCATGTCGAATCAATCCGTTTCTTCCGATCTCTTTCTGAGCCTTCATGTTTTTTGCCGCCGCGTCTGTGGTGCGCCAGGTCTTGGCGAGACGGAGGCCCACCTGCCACTTGCTCTGAATGGTAAGAAGCATGAGAGATCTGGCCGCTGGGAGCCGCTGGTGGCAGCTAGGAGATCGAAATTGCTGTCAAACCACCAGAATGGGGTACAGTAATCAATCCTGTTCAGCCCAAACACTCACAGAAGTGAAGTGAACCCCCCGAAAGATGAAGTAATCTTTTTCTGGTGACCTCCGCTTGACGGTCTGGTATGGCGGTTCCCTCTGCCGGCCGCCGAGTAACCCTGACCGACCGGTCGAAAGGTGTGTGGCTCGGGACGGCGAGACGGCGTGAAGACCAGAACCAGCGTGGCGAAGCCAACTGCAGTAGACGTGGTATTTTGGAGGATTTCGGTACAAGGCTTCAAGGCCTGTAGGCCATGTACACTTTTTGACTCATCGCCATACTCACAGAGGTTGACCAGCTCCATGCTTCTCTTCGTGTCTCCCAGCTCCGCGAGGATGGTCAGACATCTCAACCCATGAAGAGCAAACAGTCTTGTGTTCTTCAAAGCATGTAGAACCACCAAGCCGGCGCGCCCAAACTTCCTGTACTTGTGGAAGACCACAAGTACTTTCCAAGTCGCAGTAAACTCAGTAGAGACCACAAGGCATGTAAAAACATCCAAAGCATGTAGAACCCCAAGAGAGCACCACATACTTTCCATGTTTTTACCGCACCTAACATGATCGATCTCACGGTCCGGTCGGTCCGGTCGCTGTCCGGTGGGTCCACCGAGCCTCACGGCGTTTGCTGAGGATCCCAGCCTCTCCGGCCCACCGACCACGCGCGGCCACTCAGCTGTCCCGGCCGGTCTGAACCGGGGACGAGGTCTACGGTCTCCGGGGAAAATGCGGTAGGACGCCTGCCGACTGGGCGGTACATGAAGTGCCCACCAAGCCGATGCTTTTTGGGTGCCATTCGCGACTCAAGGATTGTGGATTTGCATGTGCAGAAGGACGTTTGTAAGTTTTGTCTGGTGGTTCCAGTGGATGATTCCGGGTTTGGCCAGCAGAAAGCGCCTCTGGACGACGATCCTTTTCTGGTCAGTATGACTCTTGTAGAACCTCGTGAGCCTTTTCCGGTCAGCTCATCGACCGCTTGAGGCCCTACCCCGTTGCCTTGAACTTCTTCAAGGAGGCAGCGCCTCTGATAGAAAACCATAGCAGCAAGAGGGGATGGTTGGCTTAAGCATGCTTAAGCCCAGGGGAGGAGACTGATCACTGTTGGAAAGATGTGGATGATCGGGGGGCCAGAAGTGCACCGCAATTGATGCAGATCACCCTGGCTCCACACTGAGCCTTTTTTGTGGGGCATCATCTTGAGTATGCTGTACCCTTAATTTCTTGCTTGTTTGGGTCCTTTTCCGTGTTTGGGTCCTTCACCACGCGAAACGAGACGCCGGAGCCTTCCACCACGCCCGCCACCGCGTCAGTGCTCGCGTCTGTGTCGCGTCTCCTGGGTCTCGATGTGGAGCACCGCCAGGTCTTCGAGGAATTTTCTGCCAGCCGAGCCATGGCCCGAGCACCCAGCCGTGCGGAGCGGACCGCGCCGTGGCGCCCGTCCGCGGGGCCATCGCCCCATGAAGTTGTGATCCAACATCGGGGTGGTTGAAACGCGATGGCAGTGATTGTCTTGCTTCCATCTCCAGAAAGGAAGCTAGGTTTGATGTCAAAGAGAACGTCAGGTACAGTAACTCTGGAGTGTGTGTGTGTGTGTGTCAAGACACAAGCCAGAGGTTTATTATGTGGAACCTTGAGTTCTCCTCAATGGTCAATGGTCTAGTTCTTCTGAACAGCGTTCAAAGTCCGTAGATCCCAAGTAGATCCTCCCAGGTAGATCCTTATTGAAGGTTGTTGTAAGACTGGTCGTGGTCGCTGTCCCTCGGGTTTGTACAGCAATCCCGCCACCTTCGAAATGATTCTTCCACCTCCAAGGGGAAATAAACAAGTGCCATCAGGAGAGGCCAGCCAGCTCCCAAGACGCAGAGGGCCAGGCAGTGTTTGGGGATGGATCGTTTGCATGGTGGGGCAGTTGATCAGAAGATTTCTTGATGAAAACAGTGCCATTGAAAGTGATGTAGTTCTTTGACCGCTTTCGGAAGACCTTGGTCCTCTGACAGAGCAGTTCTGCTTCGGCCTCAAGGTCTGGGTTGTGCCACTAAGGCTTAAAGTAACATGTCTTTGCTGGCTTTAGCGCTCTGACTCCCGGTACACTGCTCCTTTTTCCTCATCATGGGTACGTGGAGTTCACCACCTGTTTGTAGAGAAGCATGCTAATCCTTTCGTGGACAGTTCACCACTAACCTGTGATGAAAAATCAGGGTGGGAGACCATGGTAGATTGCTTTGGTGGTCCGACCCGCAACTACAAGATCGGTGAGACATCGATTCAGGGTTGACCGACCCCGACACCCCACCCACTGAGTGACTCATGTTGGGTTTTTCCATCATGGAACATGAGACTTCTGTTGGGTTGAACGTTGGAAGATGAACTCGTTGGAACTCATGTGACCTAGTTGCTGCATGGGGCACCAGGTGGTCTTTCAAACCATTTTCCCCATGTCTTGTCTCGCTCCGCGCGTGAGAGGTGTTGTTACCTCCAGTGACGCCTCCCTCATCGAGCTCCTCCCCGGTGATCAAGTCACTTGGCATCGGACGTCTCGGTCTTCCGGCCGTCGGTCTGTGGTGTTCGTTCGCTTCGCTCGGGCGGACGGAGGTCTGGGGGGCGAAGCGAGCATGTGAAAGAACGCGAGTCGATCGCATGGCGACCTGTCTATCAGAGTCTTGCCCGTGAGATCCGGGCTTTTCGGCGTGTTTCGTTCGGCTTTTGCGTGCCTCCTTTCGGCTCGTGCGAACGATTTCAAGGCTTTGGTTTTGAGAGCTTAGTGTGAGCGCGCGAAGGGGCCCTTGTTTGGAGCAGCCCTTTTGAACGCTTGGGGACATCCCATTAGTTTGGAATTTTGCCTTACTTGAGCATTTTCTTCGGGATTTGACACCCTCAAGCCATTCGATCATCAGAGAGGACACCAAGTGCAAGTTGAGATCAAACTACTTTGCTGACAGCTCCGTTTCAATCCTTTTTCTTGGGACATGATCTTGCAGCCGCATGAGCCGGGCACCGCAGGCTGCGCAATCAGCAAAAAACACATTCGGAAGCAAAGGAAGGAAGGAAGTAAGCAAGCACGCAAACAATGAAGGAAGGAAGCACGGAAAGAAACAAGCGAGCAAACGAATGTTGAGAGTGAAGTGTGAAGAAAAACGGACCAGGGTGGACTCGACCCAGCAAATCTTTGTGCTGGCTTGCCAAAGCGGCAAAGCAAGAGGACGCCTCCTCCAGTGGGCAGCTGGTCCAATTATATATTTAAAACTAATTTTTTTTGTGACCAAAGAAGCGCCCCTCGCTTCTGCTTCCGCCCGCGCGCGGACAGCAACGAAGGAGGGAACAAGAGGGAGAGGGAAGAGGGAACAAGAGGGAAGAGGGAACAAGAGGGAAGAGGGAACAAGAGAAGAGGGAAGAGGGAACAGGGGGAAGGGAAAAGGGAAAAGGGGGAAGGAAAAAGGGAACAATGGGAAGGGAAAAGGGAAAAGGGAAAAGGTAAAAAGGGAAAAGTGAAAAGGTAAAAAGGTAAAAGGGAAAAGGGGGAAGGGAAGGGACGGGAAGGGACGGGACGGGACGGGAAGGGAAGGGAAGGGAATGGAAGGCGAGCGCTCGCTCGCCGCTCCCAGGCAGCTGCGGCCGTCCCCGAAGCGCGCCACCTCGGAGACGCAGCTGAGAGGTGCGAGGAAAGCGAGCGAGATCGGAGCCATCGGTGGTCGAGGCCGTCGCCATGATCCCGGGAGAGAAAGGGCAGAAAAAAAGGTATCCATTTTGTGAGTTGTTCAGATGTTCTTTTAGCGGCCCTTGGTGGATTCAAACCAAGATTTGCAAGAGGATTTTGCTTTCTAGGCCCTTGGATGGTTGATTGATGGGAAGACAAAAAGACCGCCTGGCCGTGAACAACCAATAGGTATATAACACGGTATAATTACGACTGTCTCACAGCATATCAACCACCTGCGGACCTGCGTGTCTATGATTGTTCATTGAACTATATATATTTGTATATATATATACGTTTCTTACAGAGCTGCTGATCCTTTGGCAGATGTCAAGCCTTCACATGACCACCGAGCACGTCCGATCCACACCCCCGAGCCGCATCGAACGGTCAGCAGACCGAGCCGCCCACGCCGCACCGCTCGCCGCTCGGCACCTCTGCAGACCTCATCCACAAGATGAAGACGGTGCCGAACGGCAACCACGTGGACGAGGTCGTGGATAGACTCGGGGGCACATGGATTTGGTGGGAGAAGAGAATGAGAACGCTCGGTGGAGGCATCTGGGATCTGGAAGGGTTCTCAACAGTTCTGGAAGATGGGGAGATCCTGACAAACCAGTGCCAGGTAACTGTTGAAGAAAGGTTTTCCTGGAAGGCTTTCCTGATAGAAGAGTTCCTGGAGAAACGATCGCCAAACCCTTGTTGGGATCGAAGCCCATGTTGTTTCTTGATCGCCAGGCTCGGGTCCATGTTCGGTCTCATGTCTCATCCTTTTTCCCAATCATCCAGCTGTCATTAAGACTTTACGCAGAAAGCTATTCTGAAGGCAATTTCATTTGTTCTGGCTCGTTTCACGCGGCAGTTAGATATTACTAGCAAGCCTCCAGTGTTCTGCTCTTGATCTGAGCTATCCAAGGCACCAGTCCTCGTAGACTGACTCATTGATAGCACATTGCCCATAGATTCTCAAAGGCTTTTGATTCTTTCGCGGTGCTTGGCTCTCGTCTCAGTTTGTCAAAGGCCCGGTCCCTGGTCCTCCAAAAAGCCGGTTCGTTGGAACAGGAGTTCGCGCGGAAGAGCCACGAGCTTCACCTCACCTATCCCAAGTTGGAGCCGGGAACCTCAACTCACGAGCCGCCAAACACGCCGAACGCGTTCGGCGCTAGCCGGCCAAGCAGGGTGTCTCTGCGGTGTCTCGGTGGTCGAGCTGAAGAAGGAAGCTGCTGTGACTTGGGGTGCCCATGGAAGGTAGGCCATCGGTTCATCGCCGCAGTGGCGACCAGGTTCAGGGACCGTCAACACACACCGGCGGGGGTGCGAAAAAAGCGTTCCGGTCAGGGCCAGATGGCGGCAAAATGTCTACAAGCTGCGGCCTCAGACGGGTTTCCCCACAAAGTCTTCCAAACTGCATGTCCAGACGAACCTTGGCCTTCCAGGACGATGCCATGCACATGTCGCGGTGTTTCTATCTGTTTGGAGTCCAAGCAGCGTAAGCCAAACATCGGCAAGCTTCGTCAACATCAAAGCAGCGTGGCCCGGAAAGAACCTCTAGAGACATGTGGTTTTTGAGCCCCACCACTTGACGCTCGCTGTGCTTGACCAAGCTTGGCTCGGCTTGGCTTCCATGGACGTCGAGACCGACGGCCTCCGGCTCGACTCGACTCGACTCGACTCGATGGTCACTCGGTGCGACGAGTCGGCAGGGAGCAACTGCGAATGCAGAAGAGCTTGACTCACATGGCGACCGACTGCTTTGATCGTTGCGACCTGAGCGCGAGGGTTGGCGAGGGTCTAGGAGGGTCGACCAGGCACTGCATGGAAATGATCAGGCACTGCAGGATGTTCCTTTTTCTTTTAGTTAGTTGACCAGGCGATTGAGGAGTTCTTCTCTAAGAAGGCTATGGCTATCTAGGAGTTGCAGTGGATGCTTCGTTTTTGCCCATCCAGACCTAACCCGCCACTTCTTCCGCGACACCGACGTCATCCAGCCCCAACCCGCCACCGAACCCGCTACCGAACCCGCCACCGAACCCGCCCTTCTGTTGGCTTCACGGAACCCTTTCGGCGCTCGGATCCAATTAAGATCGGGGAGGTTGGGGACTCAGGTGCATGATCCGTGCCAGCCGGCTCCGGTACTTCACTTGGGGCGGGGGGAGCCTTTTGGGGCTCGGTGAGGTTTGATCATCGAAGAAGAGGAGAAGTATGAAGCCTCGAAGCTCCGTGAGGCCATGCACCAGCTCTCCCAAGAGGCACAGATGGCCGACAGCCGACGAACATCCGACGACGATCGAACGAAATGGGATCGAACCGGACAAAACCGAGGAAGGTGGTCGGATACCGTTGTTCTTCTTTTGGATGCGTGTGGGTGGGGGTGACTTTTGATGGGACGGGCTGGAGTTATTTTTTTTGGGGGTATGTGCACAGGGAAAAAGATTAGGGGTCATGTTTTGAATGGAGTGCTTAGTGCCTCTGTACACCAATAAGGGCTTCTGGATTTGGCACCGGAGGGAATAGGAGATCTTGTTCTTGTATGAAGACTTTTATGACTGGTTGTTCGTCGTTCTTGCACTCGACTTTGTACCGCGGTGTTTTGGGTCAATCATCCAAGCCCCATCCGACGTTCTCATCGGACGACGTGAGGACGATCCAACCCGCGAGCAAAAGAAGACGCCAAGCTTTACGCCATTGAGCACCACAGCACGCTCGTGCGTGGCTGAGATGATGCCGTGGAAAATCCGAAAATCCCAAGGTCGCGAGGTAGATCAATCATAGCCAGCCCAGGAGCCATGGCTTCTCATCCACGATGCGTGGTGGTCTCAGTTCGGTAGGGTGTGCGGTTCCAGGGGCAGATCCAGGGGAAATCGTTTGGTACGTGCGGTTCTTCTTGTAGTACTTGCAGAGAATGGTCCTTGGAACCATTGCATGAATCTCACAGTCTCAAATCTGGACCATTGGATCATTGGAGAGTTTTTCCTAGACTGGTTATCCTACAGCATGAATTCTTGATTGTGGTGCTGCATATGTTTTGATCCCTCACATGATCGGGCTTTAAATTGATGGAAGACTAGGACAGTCTCCACCACATGTCGTACAACGTACACTGTACATCCCCTTCCTGCAAATTGGAGGACCTTCAGCAACGCCCAATGCCCGTATCACCAATCACCACCCAAAGTACCGTTGATTTTTTTCGACGCTTCAAGCAACACCTGCTTCTTCAAGGACCTTCGAGGAGAACCGAACCGTTTGGTGCACGGCATTCTTTCTTCCTACAGTGGATTGCATCATGAAAGCTTCACCAAGAACCATCATCCCCAAGAATGCTCACGCGGCCGGCGGGAAGGCACATGTGCTGTGCCAGGCTCTGCATCCAGCTCTCGTGCAAGCCATGCTGATCGAGAGGAGTTGTGGGTGGGAATGGAGGCAAGTGTTGTAATGTAGAATCTTGATATAACCCTCGCCTCCTTACGAAGAGGTTTTACAATCCAGATTCTTTTTTTGTTTTTCATCAATCAAGAGTCATTAGAGGAAAGGGAGGACGATTGGAGGATTCGCCCTCCAAAATCCTCGGTGAATGGATGGATGCTCTCACATCCCCTGGCGGCGAAAGGCTTCGCGGAGGCTGCCAGATCATGTTTGAATAGGTCAGTGTCAAATAGCTATGGGAGTACACTGCTGGGAGCTGGTTTTTTCTCGTCCCCGTTTTGCTGTTTTCTGGACCCTTCTGGACTGCAAACGGACTGCTCCAGGATGCAGCCAGAGACAAGACCCTTGGCACTTTGCGGGAAAATGAGATCAAGCGCAACGAGGCTCGGCTCGCGAGATCCAAGGGCGTTTTTCCCCCTCCGCACCGAGTTCCGGTAGTAGTCCGGCCAGTTGCCACGGTCCAATCAATGTGGGTAGTCTAACAGTGCCGATTGACATGGACCTGTATTCCCTATGAAAAGAACAACTATTTGCGGTGGTTTTTGCTGCGGTTGTTGCAGAGTTCGGCAGGAATTCAACAGAAAAGTACCCCAGTGTTCTTTGTTACAAATTTGAAGGTTCTTCTGCCTCTTCACTGCTGGTACACTATGAACATTCAGGTTACCAAACAAAAGGGAGGCCTTTTTAAGGACCAGACATCGTTCTTTTTTCTTGCTGAAAGGTTGAAGACTCAGGCTCGGCTGGCTCGGCAGGCTCGCCTGGCTCGGCTCGGCTCGGGGCCGATGCGGAGGGGACCAACTCACGGCGCGCGGCGCGACACCGCCAGACGCTGCAAAAGAAGCTGGAGCATCAGCAAGAGGTGCAGGCGACTGGTCGGTCTGCGGCGACTGGACCCTGGAAAGTTGTTGGGGGGGGATGGTTTTTCTTCACCTACGTGGTGTGAGCAGATGAAAAAGAATGGAAAAGGGCACCGGCAGCAGTTTTGAATGGTTGATCACGCGGTTTTAGGCCGAGTAGGCGCTCGCACCCAACACTCCCTTTGACAAACCTCCCGGAAGATGCTGCGAGCGACTCTCGTTGCATGTCCGGCATCCAGGAAAGGGTCGTAGAGCAAGCCACCGCGGTCAAGTGGAGGACCAGGGTTGGCCAGGGCTTGGGTGGGTGGGAAGGACTCGAAATGACGGTGGATGAATATGTGGAAGCCCGCACAAATGAATAAGTGTACCAAGTTCGGTTTGCTAGGTCAAGGCCTTTTGGCTATGATCAAGTGTAGCATTTTCCAACTGGGTCACGACCTTTTGACTATGATCAAGTGTAGCACGCACCAGCCGGGTTACGACCTTTTGGCTATGATCAAGTGCACCTGAAGCCCTTTTTACAGCAGAAAAGGAGCGAAGCGCTCACGTAGGTTATGAGCCCAAGCTGTTTTCGAGGGTTGTAAGACCACCCCGGTGGGATCGTGCGGATCCACGGGTCGCTGGCCGCCATGGCTCGAGCAGCTGGCGGCGCTGGCTTGGACTCTCCCGAGGCGACGTCCTCCATGGAGAGTGCCAAGGAGGAGCAGGGGGCGCTGGCGATCGAGGACATCGCGGCGAGCGAGGGTGCGCTGGTGGTGGCGTCACAAGCGCTGCTCCCCCATGGACCTCCCACGACCTACGGGCCTCAGCGGAGGGATGACGGCCGTTCAAAGAAGGACGGAAAGGGACATGGGACCTCGAGGCAGGTGGAAGTCAACCCCTTTTGGAGCCAGACGATCAAGGACGAAGCCATGCTCCGCGCCATGAGGCCTGCGGGGCTTCCGGACGCATCCACATCGACGGCAAGGCCTACGGCATCCGGAGGTGAGGAGATGGGGGTTGACATCCAAGAAGTCCTGAGAGCGGTCATGTCTCAGAATTCAATGCTCAAGAGGGAGCTGGCGGAGTTGAAGAAAAAGGTGGATGACTCCTACAAGGAGAAGGACCGGGATTTCAAGGAGGCAAGTCGACCTAAGCCTCCAACATCGACACCTCCGCCGAGTCCACCATCGGGACCGCCGCCTGATACCCCAGAGGCTGAGAAGGGTGCAGGCACGACCTCCCTCGGAGCGATTCCAGAGTTCCCAGGGAATGAACGACGAGGAGAACCTGGGAAGCTATCTGATCCAGTTCAATGGCCACCGGGAGTATGTCATGATACTGGACGTGGAGCTCCACCTGTACCAGAATCTTGGTTGGGAGCACTTCAGGCTGGACACCGAGGAGGGCAGGGGCAGAGCTTTGAAGGGAAGGAAGTGGCAGGGACTCCACATCCTGGAACCCAAGGAGGTATAGGACCCGGACGTGGAGGACTACCTGACTGTGCAGTACGAAATGGAGACCTGAGCAAAGGGTCACCTCTGGAGCAAGCTGCCCAATCTGTTCTGAGGCAGTTGGGCACTGGAACCTCGGACGGAGGCTGGGGCGAAGTGATCAGGTCAGTTGAGCTGCCGCCGCTCCAGGAACTGCGAGAAGGTGAGTTGGGATCACTGGTCCTGGGAGATTGGATCCAACTCATCTCCCCGACGATGAGGGACCTCAGCGCTACTTCATGGAGGTGGTGGGAAGAGGTGATGCAGGGGGCCATGGTGGCCTATCGTGAGTGGCTTCGTGCAGAACCAGTTCAACGGCTTCACATCAAGGCGGAGGTGCCCCGAGAGTGCAACACCGTGTGGAGCAGGCTGGAGCAACGAGGACAGCTCATGCTTCTGAATGCAGTGCCGGCATCAATTCGATCAGAGATGCTGGCAAATAGAGCCTCCAATTCGGTGGATGTCCTCTATGCTCTCTTCCGGAGGTACCAGCCTGGAGGGTTGGCGGAAAGATCTCGACTTCTTCGACAGCTGGTCGAGCCTAAAACACCGCAGACGATGAATGAGGTGGTGGAGATGCTCCGTGGCTGGAGGAGGAGCTTGAGGAGAGCTCAGGAGCTGGAGATTGCGACCCCGGACGCAACCCTACTGCTTGGAGCATTGGACAAGATGTCGGAGTTGGTGGGGAAAACCTCTAACCAAGTGGCCTTCAGGATGTCATCAACCAGAGCGACACTGGGAGTCGACGTTACTCCAACTCTCGAGACCGTCCTGAGCTTCTCGGACATGTTGACGGCTGAGGCGGAATCACTGGCCATCAGCGATGTTCAACCACCCCCGGAAGTCAAGCCGGCGAATCAAGTCACCAAGGTCAAGGCAATGACCGCCGTGGCGGATGAGAAGGCAGAGAAGGGGGTCGGGAAGGCCAGAGCTGATGGACGGAGTGATGAGAAGCCATGTCGTTTTTGGGGCACCGATGAGGGGTGCCGGAAAGGTCAAGATTGCCGCTTCAAACACGACTGGGGTGAACTTGAGAAGAAGGGGAGATGCTTCGGATGCTCGGGAACTGGTCATTCGAAGAAGGATTGTCCGACTGGGAAGCCAAGATCGAAGGAGTCTCCGGAGAAGCAGGCTGTGAAGTCCGTCAAGGAGAAGGTGACGACCGCCCTGGCGAAGGGGGACACAGCTGATGCTGGGCCCAAGACTGGGGGGAGCGAGCCGGTGGAACACAGCCGATCCAACGAGGGCGACAAGGGAGCGGGAACTTCAGGAGAGATGAAGGACCTGTTGAATGAAGCGACGACTTTACTGAAGAGTTTGAGGCCAAGTTCATCGATGAAGGCCATCCGGCTAAGCAGCCTCGAGGTCCGAGAAGGTGGAAGAGCGCTCCTGGATGGAGGGGCCACTCACTGCTTGAGGAGGACCGCATCAGAAGAGGAATGGGCAAGCGCCCAAGAAGTCAATGTAGAGCTGGCGGCAGGGTCAGCGGTCCTGAGATTGCTTCCGTGGACGAGAACCTTGCTGACCAAGGAGGATGTTCAGGTCATCGTCCCACTGGGAGTGCTCATTTCCTTGGGCTATGAGGCGGTCTGGGAGAAGACGAGATTTGAGCTCACGGACCCGACCGGACTGGTGTTGGACACGAAGGTGGAGAACTCGTGCCCCACGATCGATGAGACACTGGCGCATGAGTTGATCCAAGAGATCGAGCGGAGTATGGTAAGGGAGAGAGCCCGGTTGGCACATCTGGCTGGGGAGAACATTGGCTTGGAAGTGGACCCTGAGGAGGCGAAGTATCTGTCCGAGCTAAAGGACCTCTTCCCGGAAGTACCGCACCACATCCTCGAAAGGCTGCTCCCGAAGAAGAGCTGGACTGGAGAGGGGTTGCCTTGGAATAGGCATGAGAGAAGGCGAGTCCGCAGGGCGAAGGAGGTAGTGATCCACCTCTTCAGCGGAGACTCAAAGAAATTTTGGCAGAAGGAGCTGGAGGCTGAAAGTCGAGCGGTCCTCTGCATTGACACTGTCATTGACCAGGGAATGAACCTCCTGCGAGACGACATCTTCTCCTACCTGCTCGACTTGGCCGATGGTGGGACGGTGTGTGCACTGTTGGGAGGACCTCCATGTCGGACGATGAGCAGGCTGAGATTTAAGCAGCCGGGACCTCCACCCCTGAGGGAACGAGAAGGTCCCTACCGGTTTGGTCTCCCTCAACTGGACCGCTACCTACGAAAGCAGGTGGAAGATGACACGGTCTTGTTTCTGAGGCAGCTGTATCTTCACCATCGAGCGGCACTAGCTCGAGGCCCGAAGGTGACTCTGGCAGCGCTGGAGCAGCCTGAGGACCCGGAGGAGTATCTCAAGGCAGAGGAGAAGGAAGCCCACAGGTACCCGTCCTACTGGAGCTGGCCAGAATGGAGAGCAGTCAGAGATCGCTGGGGTCTGATCGAGGTCAGTTTCGACCAAGGACCCATGGGGCACTCGAGAAGAAAGCCCATGCGATTGGGAACCAACATTCCTAGGCTGGCCGAGCTGCAGGACATCCGAGGACATGGAACGGATGGTGGCGAAGCTGAACTTCTTGGGTCTCCCTCTCAAGCGGCTCCACTCAGACCGCGCGGGTGAGTATCAAAGCAAGATGTTTGACAAGTGGGTCCGAGACAGAGGGCTGTGTCGCACCTTTACAGATGGCGACAACTTCAAGGGCAATGGCCGGGCGGAGGGAGCGGTGGCACAGCTCAAACGTGGTGCCAGAACCCTTCTAGTGGCAGCAGATCTTGATGAGAGCTACTGGTGTCATGCCACTAGACACTGGGCTGACACTCGACTCCGAAGGCAACTGGAGTCAATGGGGTGGAAGCGCCGGCAGCTGGCGACCTTTGGTCAAGTGGTGTGGGCCAAGAGGAAGCTCTACAGCGACCGCCAAAAGTATCTGTCTACCACCAGGACACAGGTGAGGGTGCTCTGCCCAGCTGTCACGATGTCGATGACGTCACCGGGATACTTGGTGGAGGAGCTCGCCACGGGAAAGCTGTTCCACACAGCCGACATCATTCAGGTGGAGGACATGCCGGATGGGGTGGCACTGCCAGACTGCGAAGCGGGCATGATCCACGAGGTTGATGACCGAGAGGAGGTTGAACAACCACGGAAGAGACCGGGGAGAACCAGAGGGAAGGTCAAAACCCTCCAGCTGGAACCGGAGGTGGAGTCTGCAGATTGGGGGGAGCTGCAACATCGGGGGGCAAAGATGCTATCCCAGGAGCTTCAACTTCTGGAAGAGGACTCCGGAGAAGTCAGGAATGAGAGATTCCTGAAGGCGCTCACGATGGAAATCGAGGAGATCAGTCAAGAAGCCGTTCGTGCAGGCCGACAGGAGGAAAAGAACCTGATCGCCGAGATCGAAGAGAAGTCAGAGGAAGCCCCAGAGTTCCTACAGACACGGATGGTGGGTCTGACGGAGGTGAGGAGGAACCTGGAGGAGTGGAAGCCATCCATGATCGAGGAGTACACGGCACTCACCAATGAGTCCGAGGCGGTAGAGGCCATCAGCCAGGGAGAGTCTGATCGACTGAAGGAGGAGGCGAGGGCGCAGGGCAGAGACTTTGACCTTGTGCCGGCGAAGGCCATCTTCAGCCGAAAGGCCGGCACTGGAAGACACAAGTGTCGGGGGGGTGGCATGTGGAAACTTCATGAATGCCAAGAGCTCCGAATCCACGTTCGCCTCAGGTGCCAGCGGGATCGAGGTGAGGACGCTGATCAAGATGGCAGCGATCAACCAGTGAGCTTTGGGCACCCTTGACGTCAAGACGGCGTTCCTCAACGCCCCTGCGGCCCACGACCGTGGGGTGGTGGTAGTTCAACCACCACGAATCTTCCAGGAGGCTGAAGTGCTTCGAGACCAGAAGGAGTTGTGGCTTGTCAGAAAAGCCCTTTACGGGTTAGTGACCTCTCCACGGGATTGGTGTGACCACCGAGATGGAAAGATTAGAAATTTCCAGTGGGTGAGAGAAGGGCGACCCGTGAGAGTACAGGGGACACCTCAGGCGGACATCTGGCTGGTGCAGGAGCAGGATGATCGAGGTGCTTGGACCACGAGGGGCGCAGTGGCCACGTACGTGGATGACGTCCTGATGGTGGGCGAAGAAGAGATCATCCAGGGGTTCATTGACCAGGTCAAGATGCGCTGGAAGATTGGGGAACCGGAGTGGGTGAAAGAAGGCCGAGAACCGGTGCGCTTCTTGGGAATGGAGATTGAGAAGAAGGGCCAGGACTTCATCATCCACCAGCGGGCGTACTTGGAAAGCCTGTTCATGGAGTATGACGAACAGGGGAAGGCATCCTTGGGCCAGATCAAGACCCCGGAGGAGGAAGAGAACCCGCAGTTGACTGAGGTGACCCAGGCCCAGAAGGAAACTGGTGAACTCCTATGGGTGGCGGGAAGAACGAGACCAGATGTCTGCCTTGCGGTGAGCATTATGTGTCAATGGGCCACGAAGCGGCCGAGGGCGGTGATGGCCATCGGGAAGCAGGTGAGGGCCTACCTTCGACAGACCAGGGGAGAGGCGCTGCATATCTCCTGTACAAGTGATGAGGAAGGGGAGAAAGAGAATGGCTTGAACCGGGTGGAAGTGTATTCAGATGCATCGTATGCCTCATCAGACATGAAGAGCCTGACTGGCATCGTGGTTTGTGTTGGAGGCACACCGATCACCTGGCATACCACACGACAAGCATTCATCACCTTGTCGACGGCGGAGGCTGAACTCATGTCGTTGTTGGAGAGCCTGATCTGTGGCAGGTCGGCGGGATCACTGATGGAAGCGATTCTCGGGGAGAAGGTCCAGGTCAGACTGCACTCAGATTCGACAGCAGCTATCGCCATCGCAACTGGGACAACGTCATCGTGGAGAACGAGACACTTGAGGATCAGGGCAGCAGGATTGACTGAAGCTCTGAAGTTGAAAGAGGTGTCGTTAGAACACGTGGCCGGGACAGAACTGGTGGCGGATGGCATGACGAAGCAGCTCACCGGGCAACCACTCCTGAACTTCAAGAGGTCACTGAGGTTGAGGACGACGGATGAGAAGGCGGAGAACATTGAGGTCAAGAGAATGGAGCTGAATGGGGGAACACCGGACCCCAGATTTCTGAAGGTTCTCGGGCTGATGATCGTGGTGGCAAGCATGGTGACCCGGGCTGAGGCATCGGAGACCGCCAAGGAGGAGGGAAATAGTGAGTGGTGGATCTTGGTGCTGTTGACGGCAGCCATTGCGATCTTGGGGGACATCATCCTCCGAGTGGGTTCTGCGGGAGTCCAGCGGTGGTTCAAACCCAAGGAGGAGTTGAAGGTGAAGCTTCTTCATCCAGAAGCCATCCTACCCTCTCGAGGCTCTGAGCAGGCGGCAGGGCTGGACCTGCACTCCACTATAGAGACGATGGTCCAGCCAGGAGACAGCGTGCTGATCAAGACGGGCATCGCACTGGAGCTTCCGAGAGGAAGCTATGGAAGAGTGGCACCAAGATCATCGTTGGCAATCCGGGGAATCGAGACTGGAGCTGGCGTAATTGATCGTGACTTCAGGGGAGAGGTCAAGGTGCTTCTACGAAACCACTCCGATGTGGACCTCCGGATCTACAAGGGCGACCGAGTGGCGCAGCTGGTGGTCGAGAAGATCTTGGAGGTGAACGTGAACTGCGTGGAAGAGTTGACTTCGACCGCCAGAGGAGCTCGGGGATTCGGGTACTCAGCGCATGAAGATCTGTACCCTTGGGCAGAACCGGATGACCCAACCTATCAAAGGCAAGACCTCCCATCCGGTGGATCGCATTTCAGTGAGAGCGTTGAGGATGAACACCAGTCCCTGGCAGACTCCGACGGCATCCGCTGGGCAGACACCGGTGCGCGACGAAGAGGATGCTCACCTTCCGGACCGGCCTGAGCCAGAAGGACACCATCGAGAGCAGGCATCGGGACTATGGCATCGAGGCACTCAGACAGAGACGGCGCAACAAGGGGAACTATCTCAGGATCATCGAGAACCCTCTGATGAGCTTCGAGTACCCGATTCGGAACTATGGTGTCGAGGGGCATATGACGCCGAGGCAGAAGAAAGACGACGAGCCAATCTGGGACTGAACCTCAGCGCTTGGGATCGCTATATGGTCCGTCGAGGTCCACGGCGAAACCATGGAGGCACCTGGGTGATGCTGGATTCGGAGGGGGTGCACTTCGTGGCACACGATCCTGGAGACAGCCGGGGGCCCCCAAGACAGAAAGATTCAGGAGCACGGGGAAGTGAAGGAGATGAAGCACCACCCCAGGAAGGCGAGACCATCTCGCAGGCACAACCTCAAGGTCGATTGCCAAGGGTGGAACCACTGAGGCTGATCACCACAGTCGAGGAGGGGGTCGTGCTGGGGAAATGGTGTCATGAAGAAGAGATGTGGGACTATTTGAGGACTCCGGGCTTCCAGAAGGGGTTCATCAATGGAGCGGTCCTCGAGGTGATCTCTACACCACCATTGAGAACGGCGGCCAAGGACTCGTGGGAGTATTTGATCGACCACGAAGATGGAAAGAAGATTGGAATCCGGGTACATCACCAGACCCGGAAGAAGCTGCACGACTTCGAGACGAAGATCCTCTTGGAAGAAGAATGGAGCAGATGGAGGATGACCGTGGCGTGGCCGCTGATTGGAAAGAGGAAGACCATTTTGGTCGACGAGAGGAACGGCAGGAAGGGGCTTCACCTGGACACGTGGTGGGGATACACCCTCTTCCGATCGACGTGAAAGAGAGGGGCTTGAGCTGAGGCCTGAATGAAGGCCAGGTTTTGGACTAGGTGCGGCTCCGAATAGGTGCTAGCACCTAGGGGGAGTGTGGAAGCCCGCACAAATGAAGAAGTGTACCAAGTTCGGTTTGCTAGGTCAAGGCCTTTTGGCTATGATCAAGTGTAGCATTTTCCAACTGGGTCACGACCTTTTGACTATGATCAAGTGTAGCACGCACCAGCCGGGTTACGACCTTTTGGCTATGATCAAGTGCACCTGAAGCCCTTTTTACAGCAGAAAAGGAGCGAAGCGCTCACGTAGAATAAACCCCGCCATATCAGCAGGGATTTTGATTTTCTGGCCCTCCTTCGGGGTTCATTTGGATTTGTAGGCTTTGGTGGGTTGGTGCTTCTGCTCTTCGAAACTGAGTAGGATGCGATTTCCACCGGTCACCGGTCACCGGCGCCCGAGTGACCTTCGCCTCGACCTCCGGCGCGGCGACTCCGTGCCATCGGTCGACTCGGGTCCGGTCCGTCGCAGGATGGCTTACAAAGTGCTCGAGGAGCGGCTGCGATGGCGGCTCAAGTACAACCAGGCGCGTCCTGTCCGGTCCAAGCGGTCGGTGCGGTTCGGACGGGATGTGATGGGGTGTCTCTTTTTGGACCAAAGCTGACGACAGCGATCATTGGAATCAAATCGTAGACGTGAAGGAATCGTGAAGGAAGGCGGCTGACAAATCTCACTTGGGTCTGGAAGATGAAGATGCTGTGGCTCAGGTGCCATCTTCCCGACACATGGAAGCTGTCGGTCCCTTCTTGGAGTTCTGGCTTTAATCTTGGGGCTCTTGTCACACCGGCGAGTGACCACTAGACTTGAAGCCGAAAAACACTTCATCCTCCGACCGCTTCGGAGAACGATGCCCAACCGACCGGTCCGGCTCCTCCAGTCCGACCGGTCCCTGGCAGTCCGTGGCGTCCGTGGCGTCCGGACCGAGCAGGTGGAGGCGAAGATGCAAGAGCGCGAGCGGCAAACCATGGAGGCCTTCGAGCAACGCCAGGAGTACTTGCGCTTGGAAGTCCCAGAGGGGGGCAACCCAGTGGTGATTTGATGATGGCAGAAGGTGACAGATGTGACAGATATAGAGTGACAGAGATATATCAAATGTGACAGATATATATAGATATATAGTGATATATCAAATGTGACTATATATTAGCTAGTAGAGTGATTTGAGTCCAATGTTGCTGATATTGGTCTCATGAGAACCTCGTCTCTCCCTCCGCGGCTGAAGCCGTCTCCACCTCTCCCTCCGCTGAAGCCGAGGCCAACGCCAGGCCCGTTGCGACGACTCCGGGGAGATCCGGAAGGAGCGGGGACGGAAGAGTCGACTCGTTCGGTGGTGAGCGGAGGGAGGTCGGTGGGTGAAACCCTAAAATGGCCCTAAAACCATCTAAAAACCAAAGAGTTTCGACCTGTTTTTAAACCGTTCGCTGGTTGGCTCGAGGTCGGTCGATGAAACCCCAAACCAAAGAGTTTCGATCCCTTGTTGTTAAACCAAACGAGGGTGAGAGGATCAGCACCATGTCCTTGATGAGCTAAGAATGAGCTACTCAGCAGCTCGGGTTTGGTTGAGAAGGATCGACACTTTCAGACCAGCCATGAACAATCCTCTCAGGAGCTTCGTCACTTGCGCGACGTGGGCAGACGGCTGAATCAGGCCTTGGACGGTCCAGTTAAACCGCCTTCTAGGTGGCAATCTTCCTCAATGCTATGTTCAGCATCGAAAAAGCTGGTTTTCACTGTCGAAGAAACGCTTCTTTTCCCTTCTGCATGGTGGATTGGGTCATTTGGGACACGGAACAGCAGACTACGAGATGGAAAACGAAAGATCGAGCTTGTCATCCTATCTGGATATTGGATAGGGACTTCACGATGCAAATACGAACCCTGATAAATATGGACGGTTGATGAATCAACACCCCCAAGCCCTGGAGAGATAGAACCTTGTTGTAGCAGGGGTTCTTCATCAGTCAACAGTGGTCTTTTCGTTGGCTCCACAGGTGTCAATCATGAGCTGCCGAACAATCGCGCCTGGCGCGCCAGGCGCAGCGCGAGCGGAAAGAGGCCTGGCGCTTGGCGAAGAAGAAGCTTCTTGGCGAAGAAAATTGCGTTGCTTGGTCCGTGGCAGCTTTTTTCGTTTGGGGGGAGGATTCCAACCCTTTCCAAAAGAGGGAAAGACTTCTAAAGCAGTGTAACTAGTAACAAAAGTTATAAGCAAGAAGACAGAATCTCAATGTTTGCTTCTATTTTATTCATGAACTTGCTTCTCTGCACTTAGTAGGAATTCAGCTCTTCAGCTCCCGAGCTTTTGCTCTGTGGTGCCTCTTCTTCAGGCGGGAGAGCATGGAGAAGCACCTTGCGCACTGCGGGCTGAAGATGCCTAACATGCCCAACGTGAAATCATAGAGGGCTCCAAAACGCCGTCATGTTCCTTCGACATCGCCAAAATCGTTTATGTCGATGTCGACATGGTCATTGAGAAAACTTGGTTGTTCCATGGCGACATCGGCATCACCCCAGCAGTGCTTCAATGGGTTGGATCCACCCAGCTTCCGGCGAGTTCGAACGTGGATGCGGTTTGGGAGGCCTGGCACGAACTCGCGCGAAGCCAACGCGATGCACCGGCAAACGTGCTTGAGATTTGTCCCCAGGATATCAAGAGACACAGAGGTAGTAGATTATCGCTTGGGATGAGTGGCAATGGAAGGCCTGCATGTTTGGGATCCCAAACTAATCAAGAAGTCTTTAAGTCTTTAAGACCATTATAACATGGCTTGACAATGCTTGACACATATATATATATACATATAATTAGTCCAGAATGCGCCCAACAACTCCACCTTTGTGGAATCGTCAGAGTTCCAGCATTCAGTTTCTTGGAAGTCTTCGTCTTCGTTGAATATATGACCATTTTTCGAATATTTGATTGGAGCCAGATAATATTTGAGGTTGGGCGGAAAGCTCGTGCCGATGCTGCTAGATTCCGAAGGAATCTGCAGACCTATTCCGTAACCCGCTGCCAGAGGGGTTTCCACTCGTGTTGAGTGGATGGGCGCTTCGATTTCCACCACCAAATCGTTGAACTCCTGATGAATACATCGTTGATGAAGATCATCAACATTGATGGTACCTCCAAGATAAAGCCATGAGGTCTATTCAACGGTAACAGGTAACAGGGCAACCTCACAGTTTCATTGACAAGGGGCCAAACCTGAAAGTATTCTTGGTGGTTTTCTACGTTGTCTTGTAAAGACTGTACAGCATCATGTGCCAAAATTTGGGAGGGTCTCTACTGCACCACTTTTTCTCAGGGTGCTGCTTATTGAAGTAAAGCTGTTGAACACTGCCAACTGTGGCAGGCAAGGGAGATGAGATGAGATAACCAAAAGCACCATGTCTAGCCTTGACCACCACCTCATACCCATCCTCATACTCGAGTCTGACGCAGTTGCCGCAGCCCCTCCTGGCAGCACGACGAACCAAGACAACCATCGAAGCTCGCGAAGCTCGCGAAGCGACCTGGGCCGGTGGGTTTGACCCACCTTTTTGGGGTGGCGCTCTGGTGAGGGAAAAGCAGCAGTAGCCCATCCTGTAAGCTTTGTTTTTTGCGGCACGTCATCTCTGGTTGAAAATCCAGTACTAGCAGTGGAAACACTCGTATGCATGACTTGCATGACTTTGACGCTTGGCCAGACGACGGGGTTTCAAGACATGGCCAGAGGTTTGAGACTGCAACGGACGGGAGACACTTGAAGCTTTGCATAAAGCCAGAGCCATCCTCTGCTGCCAGGGTTTCCTGGCGCTTAAAGCTCTGGTGATGTCTCGCGACAGAAAAAGAAGACGGCTCCAAGCGGCAGGAGGATATAGAACGATCCGAGTTTCACATGGAGTTAACTACCACTAGAATCACTAGGACGATGGTCAAATTTAACCAAGAGTTCTGCGGCAGGATATGTGGGTGTGTATGATCCGCAAAATCCTCATGTAAGGGATGGTTGAAGTGAAGAGCTTTTCCAAACGCTCCAGATGTCGAAAGACACCATTCCTCTCCGTTTTTGGCTTCAAAGAATTTCAAAGGAATTTTCATGTTCTTCTGACTCGTGCTTAGTAGAGAATGGGGGAGCCACCTCCTTCATTGCCTGCTTTCATTGCACAACAGTCCTGCCCTGCCTCCGCTCCTGGTGGCGACCGCGCCGCACCGCGACGTACCTGGTGCCACACGTCGCCACACGGCTGTGGCTCTCGGGCGCCTGGGGTTCCACCGAGGTGTCGGACGCCCAAAACGCGAAACCAAAAATGCGATGGTCTCCAACCGACCAGAGGCCTCCAACTTACCAACGGCCTCCAACCGACAGCGTTTGGGCCTCCAACCGATCGATCCGACGTTGGGGACGGAACCTGTGGGGCGATTTGGCGTATCTGCAGGAATCTGCAGAGGTATCAAGTCTGAAACCCATTTCTGCTGCCGTTGCGGTCGGCTCAGCCGTCCTCGGCTCGCCCCATTTTTGGTTGCGTGGGGGATGGCGCATAAGTCCAACCCCTACAAGAAGGCCTGGACCTGGGATGACAATTTGTTGTACTGCATTTCCAATAGGTTAAAGATGCTAAAGAGACACTAGTTCGAGTTCCGAGTGATGACAGACAATGACAGATCACCGAGTTTGACCGCCTGAATTGTGGAATCACGACAGAGGATTGCCAAACTTCAGTTTCGACCACGAAGAGCTGGTCTGAAGTACCCCCGTCGTCGAACCAAGCAGTCGAACCAAGCCTTTGTTTGGTCGTGCTTTACAGATCTGATGTTGAGCTGGCAAGGCTCGCTCCAAGTTCCGCTGGAAGTGGAAGAAGAAGCGCACCCGGCGTCTGCAAAAGAAGCGCCGAAAGATGCGCCAGCGATCCAAGTGAGGCACGGCTCGGCGGACCTGTGGGGCTGACGGGGACTGGTGACTGCTGAAGCGGCCTGCATAATAGCAGTAGGAGTAGGAGAAGTAGTAGTAGTAGTAGTAGTAGTAGTAGTAGTAGTAGGAGTAGGAGTAGGAGTAGCAGTAGCAGTAGCAGTAGCAGTAGGAGTAGCAGTAGTAGCAGTAGTAGTAGCATTGCTTGGATATTGTGTCAATGCCAAATACCCAGCCACCGACAGGACACGTGACGGTGTCGGTTCTTGCTCCTAGTAGTAAGGCCAGGAGCCCCTATTAGCGTCCTTGCTCCTAGTAGCGATGCCCTTTGCTCCTAGTAGCGTCCTTGTCATCAAATTTGCAGGTTGTGAGGTCCCCGATGGAGCATTGTGAGGTCCGCGGGTCTTGGGGCAGCTGGTCTTGTTCAGTTCATGGTGATTGAGTGCAGAGTGGGAAGATGGTTCATGAAGACTTGTGGGACATGCGCCTGTCTTCATGAGGACAACCAAGAGGTTCACCTCATGCAACGGTTGCTGGTGTGCTTTCTTTGGGCGGTTGGGTCGTCAAGTGCACCGGTTGTGTGATGGACCCTGCAGCACCTGACACACCATGGCTGTGCCATGGCTGCCCAAACAGTCTACGAGTCTATGGACAGTCAGAACAAAGAGTCGTCTTTTTTTCCGCCAGTCTGCCGATGTGGTGTTCCGCCAGTCTGGACTTGAACTGGTTTCTAGGAAGATCTTTTTGAAAGAAACCCGGCACTGAAAAAACCGCCTCTTTGATCGAACACCGCGGAGGATTGAGCAGAGCATCAGCCTTTCACCCGACGGAAGAGTTGACTCATCGCCAGGTGTCGCTGGAGTGAGTCGGCTGAAGCGGAGTGCGAAGTCGGTGTACAAAAGACGACCTGAGCGGAGAAGTGGGTCGTGGTGGGTCGTGAGTGAGGCATTTGGAAGAGGCAGCATTTGGAAGATCAAGCCACCGGATTGTAGGGTGATGTTGATGTTTTTCGACGTGGCCCCTCGTTCCGGTATACGTAATATATGGGTTTAAAACATGTGCACATGGCAGCCAGGCATCCTCAAAAAGCCCAAATTTTCCTTGGCTCGAAGCGTTCGGATTCTCAGAAGGTAGCGACTAACCCCCAAGCCACTACAAACACCGAACCGAAAGGTAGGCTCCTTGAAGTTTAGGGATAGAACATGAGACGAAGTGGTTCAGCCTATATGACCACCTTGGTTATACTTGGTAGTATTGAATGATTCTGGAACTGAGAGTTGTGTGGTTCCTTTTCCTGATCCAGGACATGATTCTCCTCAAGTCTTCATTTCAAGAGGAGACAAGCCTTGTCTTCCTACCTAGTTGGGGGTAATCTGAAGAGGTGTCCCCACTAAACAAGAACAAGAATGATCGCTTAACCTTTCTTGTGTCGGCATTTGCACGAATTGGATTCACTTTTAGCCAATTCAGGCTGCTTCAGCTCTCTTCCTGCCGGCACGTCAGCTTTGAAGTTCCCCTTGATTTTCTTAGACTCTCCGGCCTGCACCTACGCGCTCTTTCAAGGTCGGGGACACCTGGCGGGTCCGGCTGTGGCTTTGTGTCCCTTATCATTTAAACACACCAAAGCTGCAAGGAGAGGCTGCAAGCTTTGTGTTCATCCCATCAAGGCTTGGTGTCCCATCGGTTGGAATCAACAGGACGCAGACTTCTTCACTGGACCCGGTGTTTTCCTGGAAGATGTCTGTCACTTCCAAGTGGGGTGGTTCGGTCGCCGGTTCACCGTTGGGTCGCCGAGGAGGTCGGCATGGAGAACCTTGAGGTCGGCATGAAGCTGCACGCCATGTGGCTCAACTGGCGGTACTACTATGCAGAGCAGCTCCGCCTGCAAGTGCTGGACGCGTTATAACGACGGGGATTGTTTGTTTCGTATTTTTTATATATCTACCCGGCCTTAGAAGATTAATCTGGGTACCCTACTGAGATATTTATATACTATTTTATTAATGTCCTAAAGTTGGGGAAGAATTAATTGACATGAGCGAATTAGCTTCCTTCCTGTATCAACGTGCCTAATTGATCATTTGGTGGGGGGAGTTGATTAACTGAAGCAAAAAGAGCACAGTGATTTTAGTGCAGGACAAAACTTGTGGACCTGGGGGGGATGGCGGTTTGATATTGCCATTTTGGCTCGAGCCAACCCCCCGAGGACAACATGTTTTGAGGGTTGTTTCTGTCGCTCGCGTGCCGCGATGTTGCTTACGTCACGTCGGAAGCGGCGGCATTGCAACTGCACGCCCTGGCCGACTTGACTCGGCATTTCGCAGTGCCGGAGGCTCCTTCGCGACGACATTCGCCTTCTTGGTGCCCTTCCACCTTCGGCGCTGGAGCAGGCACGGACCGCAGATCGTGCACCTTTGACGGCGACTCACGCGGCACAAGTGGGACTGGTCTGGAAGCTGGCGAGGAAACACTTCAAAGCTTGGAGATCATTGATTTCTGCCAGAGAACGCAGTTGAGAGGGTGAGGAAGCTTGCAGGAAGTTTCATTGAAGGCTTGCAGTCAAGACCTGGTATCAAGATAGGACCAGATCATGTACTTTGGACTTGGGCAGTAGGACATAGCAGTTGGGTGCTGAACAAATTCGAACCAGTCAAAGGTGCCACTCCATATGAGCTAGTCTATGGCAAGAGTTACAGAGGACTTTTGGCTGAATATGGTGAACCAGGTCATGGTTACATCAAAAGTCTCAACGAA